GCTTGAGCCACAGGCGCGGAGCCACAATTGAATCTCTTATCTCAGCCTCCCAAGTAGCTGGGACTACAGGCTCCCACCACAACACCCAGCTATTTTAGAGACGGGGTATCGCTCTTGCTCAGGCTTCTTGAACCTGTGAGCTCAGGCAGTCTACCCACCTTGGCTTCCCAGAATACTGGAATTATAGGTGTGAACCACCACACCGGTAATTTAAATTTTTTTGTGTTTATTTACTTTTTTTCATTTCAGATTAATAGAAAGGTACAATTAGGTTGCAGTGTTTGCATTTACTAGATAATGTCCCTGTTGTAGTTGTGTCCCACATGAGGTCAGGAATTTGAGATCAGCCTGAATAAGAGCAAGACTCCATCTCTCTTAAAAATAGAAAATATTAGCTGGATGCAGTGGCATGTACCTGCAATCCCAGCTAATGAGAAGCTGAGGGAGGGGGATCGTTTGAGACCAGGAGTTTGAGGTTGCAGTGAGCTATGATGATGCCACTGCACTCTATCTGGGCAACAAAGCAAAATGACACTGTCTCAAAAAAATAATAATAACAATAAAATAAATTCTGAGTCAGGTATGGTGGCTCACCTTTGTAGTCCCAGCTACTCGGAAGATTGAGGTTGGATGATCACTTGAGCCCAAGAGTCAAGACCAGCCTGGGTGATAAAGTAAGACTGTGCCTCTTTAAGAAAAAAAGAAAGAAAGAAAAGGGAAAAAATTGTAAGCTTTAAGTTTGGTATAATTAGTCTTCATTTTGGTAAGAAGCTAAGTTTTTTTTATTTGTTTTTGATCCACCACCCCCAGCTCTAAGATTACTATCTCAGTGGTTTTTGAAGTATGTGTGTGTATTTATTTGGATAACTGTCCTTACTGTCTCAAATCAGAAATTTACTCATATCTAAGCAGTTCTGCTAAAAAAATAAAATAAAGAAATTTGTTGCATTAAGCACGTGAATAGGAATTTGGTCATGCATTCTGAGCTTTGTTTTCTCTCAGTATTCTGTATTGGTTAATAGTCAAGTAAATATGACAGTTATCAAGTATAGTGAATTTTATTGTATCCCAGAACTTCTTAATTTTCTATAGTAGGAAATAGTCCTCCCTCCAAATAGCAGATCTTTCCTTATGGAGACCTTTCTAACATTAACATGAATATCCAGCCATTAGGTGATGATAACATTTATGTCCCCCTTCTTCCTGAGCATGTGGTGGTTGCTGTCGCCTCTCCCTTCCAGCAGTTAAAGATTTTTTTTACAACAGTCTTTATGGCGCTCCAGTAATATATTAATATGGACCTAATTTGACCTGGCCTCTATCGTGACTAATGGCTTTTGCCCAAGAATGTGCTGAGTTTGTAGTATGTTTTCCCTGCACAAAGTAAGGTTAATTAGCCCTCTTGGAGAATGAATCTAGACCTTCCCTGTTCTTTTTCTGAAGAGTTCTGAAACTCTTGTTTTCATCATTTGATCTAAGTGTTAAGTGCCTGTAATATAAACTAAAATTCCTGCCTTCTAGGACACTATATTGTTTATATTGTATATATAAATTCAAAAGCATTTGGTGAAATTGAGGCCAAGGGGGAAGCACAATAGCATTTATTCCTTTTTAACAATGTGCACTTAAGATAAACATTTACAGTATTTAAGGTAAACATTTATTAAGATAAACATTTATTTAAGATAAATATTTTAACACATTTATTAAAATCACATTTTAAATGGTAGTTCTAGGCCTGATGCTGTAGCTCATGCCTGTAATCCTAGCACTCTGGGAGGCTGAGGTGGGTGGATTCCTTGAGGTCAGGAGTTCAAGACCAGCCTGAGCAAGAGTGAGACCTTGTCTCTAAAAATCAGCCAGGGCCAGGTGCAGTGGCCCCGTCTCTACTAAAAACAGAAAAACTAGCTGGGTGTTGTGGTGGGTACCTGTAGTCCCAGCTACTTGGGAGGCTGAGGCAAGAGGATTGCTTGAACCCAGAAGTTTGAGGTTGGTATGAGCTATGATGCCACAGCACTCTACCCAGGGCAACAGAGATACATAAATAAATACCAGTTCTAAAATAGCAATCAGAGTGTATAAATGGTTACAACATGATTAGAAATCCTACCATTTGGGATTACTATAGAAATGCTCTATAGTTAGTATGTTTGCGAAGTGTTATGCCCAGAACTGAACATGATTCTTGAGATGGTCTAAAAGCCCCTAGTGGAACATACTGACCAGCTAGCTCTGGACATTATTCTGGACATTATCTCTTCTATTATTTTGATAATTTTACATTAAATATGCAGTTTTGTTTTAAGGAAAAAAATAAACAGTTTTATCTTAGTAAATATATAATTGCAGTAGAATCTCTGTAAGTTGACCACCCAAGGCACTCTGACAAACTGGTCAACATATGGAGTGGTCAGCTAAGGAACTAGGCCTGTTGTACTGATACGTACATGTAGTGCATTCCAGTCTGTGAAAATTAGGTCAACTTAAGGAGGTGGCCAACTACAGAGGATCCACTATATATAACACTTTATAGTACTTACCATGTTCCAAGCACTATGTGTGTTCTAAATTTTTTAACAAATACAGAGTGTTCATAAAAGTTCATGTGCAGTTTACTATGTTAAACTATTTTAAATTGTACACAAACTTTATGTCCACCATATATTCCCAACAATTTTATATATTTATTAAAATGTTTTTATATGAATTGTACAAATTTGTATTACATTTCTCTTAGCATAAGAATCTTCCCCCCCCAAAAAAATCTTTCCTGGTATTACTGTGTAATCATACTCACTTTGAATCATTTGCATTAAGTTCATCAAATATTAAATTTGTCACGTTATATTCATCAAATATAATGAAAGTAGAAATTAAAATTGAATTAAAAATTTAAAGTCACATTTTGTTTTTTATTTCAGCTTTACCAACAGGGACGCTTATGTCAACTGGGAAGTGAATTTTGTGAATTGGAAGTTTTTGCTAAAGTATTGAGAGCTTTGGATAAAAGGTAAATTCTTTTTTAAAAAACTAAAGTAAAATATACATAATACAATTTCGTGTATTTTAACCATTTTTAAGTGTACAGTTCGGTGGCATTAAGTACATTCACATTGTTGTACAAACATCAACACCATCCATTTGCAGAACTTGTTCATCATCTCACAAAAAATTCTGTACCCATTAAATCATAACTCCTCTTTCCTTCCTCTCCTCAGCCCCTAGCAGCCACTACTGTACTTTCTGTCTCTACGAGTTTGACTACTCTGGTACTCCATATAAGTGGGATTCTCTGATGTTTACTCTTTTGTGTCTGTCTATTTCATTCAGCATAATGTTTTTAAAGTTTATCTGTGTGGTAGCATGTGTCATACTTTTTCATTTCTTTTTACCGCTGGATAATATCCCATTGTATACATGCACCACATTTTGTTTATCCATTCATTTGTTGGTGGATGCAAATACTGTACGTGCAGATACAACAGGGATTGTTTCTATTACTTGGCTAGTGTGAATAATACTGCTGAGGACAGTATTATTATCTCTTCGAGCTCCTGCTTTCATTTATTTTGATTATGTACCCAGAGGTGGAATTCTGGGATCATATGGTAATTCTGTTTTCATTTTCATTTATTTTTTACTTTATTTTATTTTATTTTTTGAGACAGAGTCTCACTTTATTGCCCTTGGTAGAGTGCTGTGATGTCACAGCTCACTGCAACCTTAAACTCGTGGCCTTAAGTCAATCTCTTACCTCAGCCTTCCAAGTTGCTGGGACTACAGGCACCTGCCACAATGCCTGGTCTTGCTCTGGCTCAGGCTGATCTTGAACATGTGAGCTCAGGCAATCCACCCACCTCAGCTTCCCAGAGTGCTAGGATTACAGGTGTTACCCCGCCCAGCCTTCTTCTTTTTTTTTTTTTTAAGAGATATAGGCTCTTACTATGTTGCCCAGTGAATTCCTGGGCTCAGGCATTCCTTCCTCAGCCTTCTAAATAGCTGGGACTATAGATGTGTACCACCTTGCCTGGCTACTGTAACGTTTTTTAATTTTTTCAGGAATGGCCATACTGTTCCATAAATTCATTTTTAAATAACACTTTTTTAATCAGTTTCTTTTGTGATTTGAAAAATACTTTATAGATATGATCATATTAGAAAACTTAAAATGGCTAACATAGTCTTACCTTAATACATAGAGTGCCGATATAATTCTATTATCTTACTAAGTATTATGTTACATTGTTTGCAGTTGTTAGTAGAACCCCAAAAGCTGTGATATGCCTTCTTCCAGTTACTACATCCCTTCTCCTAGGGTAGCCACTAGGTCCATTTCACCTGTTTTAGAATTCATATTAAGTAGTCACACAGTTCGTACCCTTTTCTTTCTGACTTTTTTTCCTCCATATTATGAGAATCACCCACTGTGTTGTGTGCAGTTGTAGTTTGTTCGTCCTCATTGCTGTATTGTATGTGAAGTGCTTCATCATATGAATGTGTCATCGTTAATTCGTTCTGTGTGTTGATGGACATTTAGGTTGTAACTGGTTTTCGGCTATTATAAACAGTTCTGCTGTGGACATTCTTGTACATGTCCTTTGGTTCACACATGTCTGCACATGTATTAGATATATATCTAGAAGCAGAATTTGAAAGCAATTTAAGACTTCAACAACTTGAGCAATGCCCACCAGTGTGATACAGAAAATAGTAAAAGTCTCGTCACAGTACTTGTACAGCTCAAACACATAATTTGGTGACAAAGCATAGAGAATTTGTTCTGCCTACTTCCATCCCCTTTGGAAAGTTAACACTCTGACGGTTTATTTTTTTGAGTTCAAGAAAGGACTGAATTCATCTTCCCCATTGGAGGTATTAAGTAGTGGGAGCTACAGAGGGATGATCTGACCTCTAATTATACACAGTATATTATTTAGAGTTCTTCTATAAATTGGCTTTAACTACCATTTCTTTTTCCTAACTCACATTTCTAGGAAAATAAGAAGATAGTTTCATAAAATAATGCTAATCGCTAGTAATATTTCAAAGTTGTTTCACTTGTTCAGTAAATTAACTAAATGTGTATTTGTTGAATGCCTGTATTGCCAGGTATTGTTCTAGATGCTGTAGGTGCAGCAGTGAATAAGATCTACAAGGCCCTTCCGTGGAGTTTGTGTTTTAGAGAGGAATGATAAGATAATAAATAAGTAGATAAATAGCACAATTTCAGCATTCAAGGTAACTTTGAAACGTGGCCTGTGTACAAAGATTACAGAGAAACTCCTTGGTTGGTTGATTAATTAAAATTCATAAAAACATACAGCTTCTCGATTTTGGTGAAGAAGACTATAGAGAACCTTTACAAAGCATTCCTTGAGGAAAGATCAGCTTTCTGGGATTTGAATTTCTCTGTGCAATTCTAAACCTGTCTTTTGTAAGATTTAGTGGAATACCTCTTTTTCATCTCTTAGGTTATCTTTCACCAAGTCCAAATCCCTTGGTAAGTGTTCTATATGTTTGTGAAACTAAAAGCATGTAATTTGACCTTTCCCCCCCTTTATTCAAAGCAGTTACAATTTTGTTTTTTCAAGATTTTTTTTTTTTTGGAGCTGTAATTCACACACCATAAAATTCACCATTTTAAATTATTCCATTCAGTTATTCACAAAGTTTTTCAGCCATCACCACTGCTAATCATAGAACATTTTATCACCCCAAAAAGAAACCATTAACAGTCACTCTGTATTTCCTCTTACCCTCAGTCTTTGGCTGATCATTAATCTACTTTCTGTCTCTATGGATTTGCCTGTTCTAGATATTTCATATAAATGGAATCATATATGGTCTTTTGTGACTGATTCACTTAGTATAATGTTTTCAAGGTTCATACATGTTGTTGCTTGAATAATTTTCCATTGTGCATATAATATGTTTTGTTTTTCCAGTCATCTCTTGGTGAATATTTGGGTTGTTTTCACCTTTTGGCTATTATGAGTAACATTGCTGTGAACATTCTTAGTCAAGAGTCTGTATGGATATTCTGACTTCTAATGGGTATCATACCTAGGACGTATACATATGGTAACACTGTGTTTAACTATGTTTAACATTATGTTTTCGAACTCCTGTGTCACAGCAGCTGCACCATTTTACATTCCCATTACTAGTGTATGAGGCTTTCAGTTTGGCCACATCTTGCCAACACTTAAAAAATATATACTGCTGGGCATGGTGGCCCATGCCTATAGTCCCATTACTTTGGATGACCAAGGGAGAGGATCAGTTGAGGCTAGATGTTCAAGACCAACATAGGCACCATAGTGAGACGCTATCTGTATAAAAAATAAAAATAAGGCAGGAGGATTGCTTGAGGCCAGGAATTTGAGGTTGGAGTGAGCTGTGATTGTGCCACTCCACTTCACCCTGGGAAACCGAGTGAGACCTGTCTCTTAAATGAGAGATTTTTTTTTTTTTTTTGAGACAGAGTCTCAAGCTATCACCCTGGGTTAGAGTGCTGTGGTGTCATAGCTCACAGAAACCTTCAACTCTTGGGCAATCCTCTTGCCTCAGTTTTTCTATTTTTAGTAGAGACGGGGTCTCACATTTTGCTCAGGCTGGTCTCAAACCCGTGAGTTCAAGCAATCCAACAACATTGACCTCCCAGAGTGCTAGGATTACAGGCAGGAACCACCTCGTCTGGCCTCTTAAAATTTTTTTTAAAATTATTAATAGTCGACCAGGAAGGGTGGCTCATGCCTAGCACTCTGGGAGGCTAAGACAGGAGAATTGCTTAAGCTCAGGAGTTTAAGACTAGCCTGAGCAAAAGCCAGATCCCATTAGTACTAAAAATAGAAAAATTAGCTGGGCTTTGTGGTGGGTGGGTGTAGTCCATGCTACTTGGGAGGTAGGAGGATTGCTTGAACCTGGGAGTTTGAGGTTACTGTGAGCTAGGCTAATACCACGGCACTCTAGCCTGTGTAATAGAATGAGACTGTCTCAAAAAAGAAAAGAAAATTGTTATTAGCCATTCTGATTCTACTGGCTGTGAAGTAGTGTCTTATTGTGATTTTGATTTGCATTTTCCTAATCACTAATGATGTCAAGCATCTTACTTGTATTCTCCATTTGTATATGTTCTTTGGAGAAAAGTCTGTTTAAATCCATTCCCTATTTTTAATTGAGTTATTTGTCTTTTTATTGTTGTATTGCAATTCGATTTTTAAAGCTAATTTTAGAAGTTAGCTTCATCCTTCATTGCCATCATGTTACACATTCCTGAGTGTTACAGAATCACCCAGTGATCCCTTGAGTAAAAACTTTAGGCTAAGATTTGACTTATTATAGTCTCATAATTCTTGAGGAAAAACATTTGTACCTAATTCCTCCTGGAAAATAATGGTGTTGTGATTTAAAAGAGAAGCAGCTAACACTTTCTAAAGGACAAAAAGAAGTTACCTCTGTAAAATAAGCCTTTTTCTTCTCTTTCAGACATTTGCTTCATCATTGTTTTCAGGCTTTGATGGATCATGGTGTTAAAGTTGCTTCTGTCTTGGCCTACTCATTCAGTAGACGGTGCTCATATATAGCAGAATCAGATGCTGCGGTAAAGGAAAAAGCCATTCAAGTTGGCTTTGTTTTAGGTAAGTAATGATAAAATAGACGAGTACTTTGTTCTGTGACAGACTCAGAATTAAACCAGCTTAGAATCAAAGAATTCTTTTAGGACTTTACCCAAAATCTTTGTAAAGAAGTTATGAGAAGAATATCACATGAACTACTTTAGTAGTGATTTATCAAACATTAGTTTTGTGCCAAGCTCTCTATGAGGCATTTAAATGGTATCTTTCTAAATCCTCATGACATTCCAATGAAGTGATGAAAACAGAAAAGTTGAATAACTGGCTCAAGTCACATAACTGGTAGTGGAGCTAAGTTTAGAATCCTGTGTCTGTTATGATTCCGCAGCACTTATCTTTCTATCATGTCATGCTGCCACCAATCTCTTTCACCTGCTTAGTCTAGTCCAGGGGTCTCCAAACTTTTTTCGTATCTGCTGTAAATTGGAAGAATAAGAGTTGATTTGGGGGCTCAGTGCCTGTAGCTTAGCAGCTAGGGCTCCAGCCACATACACCAGAGCTGACAGGTTCAAATCCAGCCCAGGCCTGCCCAACAACAATGACAACTACAACCAAAAAAATAGCTGGGCGTTGTGGCGGACACCTGTAGTCTCAGCTACTTGGGAGGCTGAGGTAAAAGAATCGCTTAAGCCCAAGAGTTGGAAATTGCTGTGAGCTGTGACACTATAGTACTCTACCCAGGGCAACAGCTTGAGACTGTCTCAAAAACAACAACAGGATAAAAGAGTTGATTTGGCCGCATATTAAGTACAGAAGCAACTAACAACAGTTGATGAGGAAAAGAAAAAGTCCATGCTTACTTCTCAGGATATATGACATCATAGATAAGCAAAAGCAAGCCTCAAAACATTTGCATGTAGCCCACAGGCTGCAGGTTGGACACCCCTGTGTAGGCTATGGCATAGGACTTAAAATCCTTTGGGGGCTGCAGTTTTCCCATCTCTAAAATGAGGATTATTATGTTTCTTCATGGAGACATTATGAGGATAGTGAAAACAAATGTAAAAGGAGTTAGAAAAGGTTTCATATGCTTTGCATGTAGAAAAATACTGTTTAATGTTATGTAGCATTTTTATGGTTTTCACAAATCTATATAAATATATTTCAGGCAACTATTTATAAAGTTAGTGCTTTTTTTCTTTATTTAAAGTTTTTTTTTAAATTATATTTTGGGGCCCAGCGCCTGTGATTCAAGTGGCTAAGGCGCCAGCCACATACACCTAAGGTGGCGGGTTCGAATCCAGCCTAGGCCTGCCAAACAACAATGTGGGCTGCAAACAAAAAGAAATAGCCAGGCTTTGTAGTGGGCACCTGTGGTCCCAGCTACTTGGGAGGCTGAGGTAGGAGACTCGCTTGAGCCCAGGAGTTGGAGGTTGCTATGAGCTGTGATGTCACGGCACTCTACCTAGGGGGACAGCTTGAGGCTCTGTCTCAAAAAAAAAAA